CTATTTTCAACAAATTTAATTTTTGCTTTTCTTTTTCACTGTTGTAAATATAAAAATTCCTGCGCTGTCTCATAGTGTAAGGCCCTATTTTCACTTTTTATCATGCTGCTCTAACACAACAATTTGCTTTGTGGATCAATAAAGTATCTATCTATCTATCAGTATTGACCTGTTTAATATGTGTCCTATGTTGTAAACTCGCTGTGCTAACAGCTGGATTATTCACTCACATTAAGAACACCATGTAGAAAGAATTTAACGACTGTTACGCCCCTCAAAACAGAAACGCAAAACAACACGGGAAAAGTGTGTAACCACACAGCTGCTGCTGAATTGACGAGGTTTATTTTTACAAAGCTGAAAAAAAGGAAAAGACTCACAATAAACACAGCTGCCAGGAAGCTAAAAGCATCAGGGTCTCCGAGGCCAAAATAACAAACAAAAACTCTCCCCCTTCCTAGAAACAAAACACAGGGTAAAACTTCCCTGATCAAGAAAAGGAAGATGCAATGCCAGACCTCCCTGGCTGTCCACAAAACAGGAGAAAACTGAGTTAAACAAAAGTGGGTTAAACCACTGCCTGCTTCCTGCTGCCTGCTTCCACTTTGCTGAAAACTGGTGAAAAATCCACATGTGCAACAACTGAGCTGAATAAACTGGGATCATTACATTTGTGTTTCATTTTTTATGAAATGTACTGAATATGTTTTTCAACTCCACATGCTTCTGTCACAGTCCTGGGTCTGTGAACCAGTGTTTTGATTTTGTATTACAGTGGTCCCTCCCTCGATATAACACGGTTCACCTTTCGTGCCCTCACCGGGACCGTGAGTCATTTGGTACCGGGCAGCGAGAGTTGAGGCTGGAGTGTGAAATTTATGGTTTTCAGAGTTTTTATTGTTAACTCGGTTTCCCTGGATCTTTTCCTGGTTGTCCTTTGTCACTGTTTCTAGCTTTGCTTCACCCTGGTCTCGACTGTTCTCCCCTCATGTGTCTCATTCCCTCATTTCGCTCAGTGTATTTTAGACCTGTGTTTCTCTCTGTCAGTGTCACGTCGTCCCCTCACCATGCTGCATGTTTCCGTGCTCCCTGAGATCAGTGTCACTAGTTTACAGGTTTCGAAGTGTTTTTGTTATTAGTTCCCAGTTTTTAGTTTCATTTTGTTTTTGCAAGTTTTTTTCTTTTCGTGAAAATTATACCACTGCAATAAAGCAGCATTTTAAGTTCATTGCTCTGATGATTGTTTTGCGTTTGTGTCCTACATCCTCCCTGCCACACAGCCGTATCATAACAGTTTCACTGTTGCTGTGGATTTTATGTAAAACTTTAAAAATTGTTTTACGCTACTTTTGATATTAAAATAGGTACAAATCCTGCAGTTTTATTGACAGACATGATATTTTGTTGTTTTTGCATTAAACATTGTGCAATAGAATTTTTTAAAAAAAAGGTGAAATATGCCCAACTTACATGACACAGTCAGTGTGATGATGTCACTCCACTGTGTTAACAAATACCCCAGAAACCCACAGTACTGACGAAATTATTTTGTTTTGTTTTTGAAATTAAAATGAGAGAAATATGTTCAACTTACATAAGACAGTCAATGTAATGACGTCACTCCACACTGTCCAGAAAGAACCTCGTCTACCCCGACAGCTGTACAATCCACTGTCAGACTCAGTAACTGTGATTCTGTATTCACTGGATGTTGCAGGTGTTTTTAACTGGCCTCTTCTCCATTCATACGTCCACTGAGCTCCTTCACCTCCATGAATCTCACATCTGACAGTGACTGTCTCACCGCTGTATATCTGAGGCCAAGGTGGCTGAAGGGTCACAGTGGGCTTAGGAGGAGCTGTTCAAATAAACAGATATCATTAGCAGACTCATAATTTGACTTGAAAATCAACAATAAAATGTTTTGTTTTTATTAAATAAGGGTTGGCGTAATAAGCAAATGCTTCAGCCAATACCTTTTGATTAGCCTTGTCTCATGCTTTCTTGCTTTGTGGTAGATCTTTGTTCTGTATTCATTGAGATATTTGAATGCTAATCAATAAAATCAAATCAAATCAATCAATCAAATCAATTAAATAAATTAAACCAGGTAATTTACTG